ACGCTGGAGAGGGTCCAAAGAGCCATATGTGGCTCTGGAGCTGCAGGTTGCAGACCCCTGGTCTAGATGTTTTAGAGGGATTATACAAAGAGAATTGCTTCAATAAAGGAAATGTTCTAATTCTACTAAATGTTAAAGGGGAAATTGGGGGGTTTCATAGCAGAGGTACTAATTATTGTATCACAGCTGATTTTCTAGAAAGAAATCTCACTTTAACAATTAGTTTTCCGCAACTCGGATAATAGGAATATATTTTCTAAATTTTTAGGTGTGAGGTGGAACTACAGCAACAAGGGATAAATTCATCTGAAAGCTTTTTGACTCCTCTTTGTTCAGGTGTCACCAAACGAGGCTGGAAGTGCTAAATTATTCATCAATAAAACCAAAAGGATATTTGGCACAAGGAAAGGAAAATAAAGCATCAAGTTTGTGATGCCGACTGAACTTAACTCTGTTCACAGGAGGATTTGCAGGATGAAGCTGATGTAAGAGTTTTTGGCTTAATTGTAAAAAAAGAAAAGGGAAAGTTGACCTCCGACACACCAACTCACAGCAGCCTGTTACCGTTCTGCAGCCTGAAACGTGCAGCGCTCCTTTCACTTCATTAGTTTCACCTGACAACAGGCTATCCATCACCTGCTGGGGTCAGCGGGAGGTGAAGTGAAACTGAACCACAGTTACAGGGCTGCACTGCTCTTCCTTCCTTCTGAAACAGCAGCAGCAATGCTCCAAAAAAAGCAATGGAAAAACAGAGTGCTTAAAGTGATCACCGGAGGAATAAATCAGGCTCAATAAATAGGATATTTAGCTACAGCTGGTACGATTCCCTAAATGTATGAGGCTTTATTTCCTCAAACACCATTTCAGAATACAAGAATAATAACAATTAGGGAGTTAAATATGATTAAAAAAAAGAAAAGCTGTGGGCTGAAATGACGTGTTGGTTGTATAAAAGTTAACATTTATAAATCCAACCCACACTTGAAGGAAAATCAAAATAAGATTAACTTTTATAAACTTTACTTTATGCAAAATCATTTATTTGTTCCAGGACTCGTTTCCACTGTGACGGTGTTGGAGACGGGAGTTTCAGAACCACGCCTGATCTAAGAGGGACATGAGGTCAAAAGTCGCAAAGAAACACTTTTTGATTTAGATCTCTGACTGTGAACAGATTTAATGCTTATAAATTTAGATTTCTTTTTTAATCTTTTGGCCACCGAAATAAGGAAATATACTTCTTCTTCCAGCGTTTTATTCTCATTTATCGGGTAAAATGGTTTCTCCCACGTGGACAAAAGGCAGCTATTAATTCTTTTAGATATCCATTCATCTATCAATTAATGGATCGATTTAAAAGGAAATCATTTCAGTAAAATTAAATATTAAAAAAGCTTTTATTGCACATTTTAAAATTGTTGTTTTGTGACGGTAAGATGCTTATTCTTTTAGCAAGTGTCAAGTTTAAAGTCTTTGCACCAGAGCTCATGATTCGCCTGAATTACCAAATAGTTGACAATCATTTCAATCATTAATTAATCACGATAAATTGCTTCAGCCCTAATGTGGATGAAAATCACCTCCTCCAGAACAAGCAGTTCCCCTCTAAACCAGAGGGTGGCAGCAGTGATGCTCTCAAATTAAAAGTTCTAATTCAACATTTTGATTGTTGTTAGAAATGCAGTAAAAATTTATTCACATCAATGTTTTACCATTAAGGATGAGAAAAACAGAATCCATGCTTTTCTCAGCACCTTTGCAGGTCATCTATGAGTCTTTTAAAGCACAACCGCTCCACACATTTATTATGCAGAACCATATATGATTCATTTAGACCGTATAGATGTGAATGTGTGTGTAGATTTGTTGGCAATAGCTTTAAGAAAATCTTGTCTGTTTTAAGTTATTTATTTGGAGAATATTTTCCTGTAGACCGACCGAGTTTTCTGCCACCCCTCTTTAGTCCCTGCATGGCCACCCAATTGAAAACGTCTGAGCTCCGCCTCTGCCCCCAAACCTTTATGGACTCCTGAAGCTTGTAGAGGAATCCTGAATCTCTGGGAATCCTTTAGCGCCCCTAAAAGCCCGACTATCAGCTCACCTAGGGGCCTCCTGGAGGAGAAGTTTTAAGCAGGTGAGCCCCCCGTTGGCTGCAGCATAGTGGGCCGGTACCGCTCCACAGTTGGTCGCTACATTGGCCTCCCCTCCGACAGACAGCAGCCACTGGGTCACCTCCACACAGTCGAAGCGAGCTGCTAGGTGAAGAGCCGTGGCTCCTGCTGCATCCTGATCCTAGAAAGTATTCACAGGGAAAACATCGCTAACTACACCCTAATATCAGCTAAACGTTATAATAAAGGATGATGGATCTTTCCAAAACTTCCACACAAAATGCTTTGCCCATTAATAACCTCATAATGGGCTATTTATTTCAGTCATGAAGTCCAGTTGGTGGAGGGAACAAAAAATTAGAGAAACAAACAAAGACTTAGCTGTGCAGTCATTAAAGTACATTTAGGAGATGGCTTTGCACCCAACATCTGGAAATCATTTCTACTTGCTACTGCTGAAAGTGGATCCACTAGAACTCCACACATATTGCATAATCAGCTAGTAATACATCATAAAAAAGCACATGAACAGCACTGATTACAACCTGCAGCAAAGAAAATGCTCTTTAGACTCTTGGTAACAGTATGGATACAAATACTAATATAAAAGTAACAGTGTGATGATTGAAAAAAATGTACAAGTTTTTAGGAGCTTTAATCACAAACTTCAACATATCCTGTTGGATTTGCATGTGAACGACTAAAATCCTGCTAATTGGAAGATAAAGGGACACATGTGAGTGTTCCATACTCTGCAGCAGTTGATTTAGGGTCTATTTCAACCAGCTTTACTAAATACAATCTTAATCAATCAATTGGAATATGTTCCAAAGAGACTCATTTGTAATATTAGAAGCACCTTTTATAAATTAGCTATAAGCCTGTGTTAAAGCATCGTATTAATTAAACCCCCAGTTCTCTATTAAAGAAGTTATAAATAGGTAGATAAAATAATCTGATTATAAATGTCCTGTTTCCTTTAGCGGTCAGCAAACACATCATCATAATTAACAGGAATGACATATTAAAAAAACTTCAGCCTGTTGGGAAATTAACGCATTTTTCTTAAGGAATTTACCAAATTAGTCGACTTTTTAATAATATTCCAAATTGTTGTGATGATAACCAGCTCTACATTTGTGCTCGCTGTCATGATTTCTCCCACATCGGTCTCCGTCTGTCTTTCTATCAAGAGCAGCTTTTCGTTTTCCCACACCATGATGCGACCACCACCGTGCTTTACAATGGAGACAGCGTTTTTAGGTAGTTTTGCCACATTAGTCATCCAACCTGGACACTTTTCTTTCACAGATTTCTTGCTCTCCTACATTGACAAACTGCAAACATAATTCTTCTTTTTTTTGGCTTTCATTTTTATTATCCCTCCTATAAGATGGTATCACTAATAGAGATCTTGTAGATCATGTTCTTTTGATCATATGATGGATTGACAGGGACTCATTTTTCTGTGATCAAATTACACCCAAGGACTTGACCTAAGGATAAATGACAACGGCACATACTGGGTTTATTTATTGAGATCGGAGTTGGGCTGAACGCAAGCTAACGCCACACTCTTCAGGAATGCTGCCTTTGCAGGTCTGTTTATATTTACACATAAAATACTGCAGTATTGTAAAATCTGACATAAAAATGTTCTGTCAGGCTGAATCGATATCGGATAATAAAAGGAGGATCTGTTAAGATTTTGAAATTAAACATGTAGCTGTAGATATTAGTAATCATTCATTTAGTGATAGAATATGATAGTAAACATGTTAACAAACTGGCTGTTAAGTTGCTGCTCATTCCCTGTTCATAAAGCTGTATAAATGAAATTTTGTTTGTATACACTGTTTGTATTTAAAATTACAAAAAAGTTTGTCTAAGTCAAACCCCTGGGCTTTTAGCGGTACGCAGGTTTCCTGTAGTCCCGCTTTATTCGGTAGAACTCTTTATTGAAACAAACAGATCACATCTTAGCTCAAAATATGTTTTCAGGCCTTTTGACTCAGCGAATAAACAAACCTGGATGCTGCAGCCTCCTTGGTCCACGAGCCACTTCAGCTCCCGGATGTTACCAGTAGCTGCTGCATCATGTGCTGCCGTGGCTCCGTTTAAAGCTCGAGAGTCTGCCGGCAGCCCGAGGTCACGCACCAGGAACTGCAGGCAGTCCAGGCGCCCACACCGGGCTGCGTGGTGCACAGGCCCTGCACCCTGGGCATCGCTGATAGCAGCAGAGAGTTGGCCGGAGGATGCTAGATTCTTCAGAGCTGCCAGGTCTGCATCCCGAGCTGCCTGGATGGCACGATGAAGCACCATCCTCAGCTTCTAAGAGCGGATTACGGAAACTTCCCTGAAGCACCATGAATCCAGTGAGTTGCCATCACAATCAAAAAAGCCTTTTCATGCCGTCCTCACCGCCTCCCGAGCCAGGAAAGTGACACCCTGACAGCAGCCAGCTGGACAGCAGGGCTGAGCTAGAGATGGGGAGGGGGGGTCCGAGCCAGCGAGATAGAGGAGTAATGAAAGACGGGTGGAGGCGCGGCGCTTGTGGCCTCCTGCTCCAGCCTTTGTGTGGCGGCGACCATATGCTTCAGTGGAGATGGGGGGAAACTTGAGTAACGGGAGAAGTGAGGAGAAGCCAGGGATCGGTGGGTTGAAAGGAGTTTTTTTAAGGGTTATTTTACAAAGTCATTACAGAGCTGGGCTAATTAACAGATGATACAACTGGAATATGAAATACTGCAAAGTCTGTGGCTTTAAGGGAGACAACATTTACATGTGGAGTCCATTCAGCTAATCAGCAGCTCATATGGCACAGTGGAAGCGGATTCATCTTTCCATAACATCACCCATGAACTTGAGCCAAGTTCTCCCGCTTTATTATTTATATAAATATCTCATAATCTTTCAGGATCAGTGTAACAGCAAAGGTGATGCGTGTCGTGTGTTATTGCACATCCTAACCTGTCCCAAAGACGAACTCTTCTAGTGCAAAAGAAAGAAAAAAAAAAGGGCTCAGTTCATTTTTTCTAAGAGCTGCACCGTCTCCCTGAGGTCCTCCACGACCAAGTCCACGTCTTCTTTGGTCGTCCCTCTGCCGACGCTCAGCCTCAAGGCATTAGCCGCCACCTCAGTGGGGACGCCGCAGCTCAGAAGGATATGGGAAGGCCTGGCAGACGTGTGCATCGTACAATATGTGCGTTAATGAGGGGAGATACCAAAAAAAAAAAGGAAAAACAAAAAATAAAGGTGGGTAAAAAGCAGGGGTTCTTGTACCTGTGTCCGCTGGAGGAGTGGCAGGCGGCTCCCACGCTGGCCAGCAGCCTCCTGCAGTTCGCTAACACCCTCCAGCCTAAAACAGGGGAGACATTAATCATTCAGAGGCTGGCTGGTTTACAAATAGCTCAGAGCGGGTCGTGAACCGGCTCTGATGATCATCAGCGTAGGGTTAGAGGGCAGTGTTTGGACTGGCACACCACAACAGACATGGGGACAGAGGAGGAGTGACATCACCTTGTAACGCTGGGCCCAGGATGGACACGTTACACGTGTTAGGGAGGATATCAGAGCCCGGATAATGACTGTTGAAGCGGATCCTGTCTCTGAAGACAGCCTGAGACGGAAACAGATTAGGTTAAAGTTTGTGACACAACAAGCTTTAGTGTTTTCACTTCATTCTTACTACTGAAAAAAACGGTCAAATCTGTTTATATTTACTTTGACTTTCACTTCAGTGGAGACAAACTGAACCCAAATTTCAAAATTCTAAGAGGAAAAATGCCTGAAGTCAGGAATGAAAAACCATCCAGGCCTGCAGAGGATGATGAAACATCAGGGTTAGGGACTGGTTATACTACCACAGCAGTGTGTCGCAGTGAGCTTGTCGCAAATATTTTTGATTTCTGCCCAATATTGAAGCGTGGTCTGCGCTATGTTATTCCACGCCACAACGCAAGAGGGACAGTCAGGAACTAGCTGTGGGTCTAGATACGCCGGAGGCGGTGAGGAAGTGGGGGCAAGTTTTTCTGACATCGGAGGACATAAGGGTGAAAAAGAGCGGGGATCCAGGTGGAAAAAGGGTTCCAGCTTTCAAACGCACCTCGCTCTTCTACCATCATTACGAGTCGTTTTCCACAATGGTTGTCATACAAACAAAACAAGCCGGTAAGCTACCAAACGTTACGCATTGTGTAGAGCGGCTGTTGATTTGACCAATCAGAGGCCTCCTGTCTGTGGCACTGTCTGCAATCACCTACAATTTTGGAGAGGTGCAGCAGAGTGTCTATGGAAGGGGCGGGGGCACATTTGCGTTAACTGCGACACACACGCAGACGACCTGGTTTCTGAGTATAAATCAGCCTTTACTGTTTCTAGAAAGGTCTTAAGGGCAGAATATCACTCCAAAATCTTAACTGTTCTCTTCAATACTCTGCTTTTCTTCTATAACCACAATTATGTTGCACAGGACTCCAACACTTTTTTGAATCATTAAAGCAACACTGTGTACATTTTTACCACTAGGAGCACTAGACCTGTAACTTCCAGGTTCAGCTCCACTGAGAGCAACTGACAGCACAACACTGTCACAATGTTAAACAGTTTTCCTCTGCGTTTTGGAATCTGCTAGCAGACTAATCTGGACCAGCAGATTAAAAAGTCATGGAGCTCCTGGTAAATTCAAGCCCACATTCAGCCCTCTAGAATAAATCCCACATCAGAGAACCAAAGGTAAGGGTCACGCTAGCATAAAACTCATGTATGCCACTTTTCAAGCAATGTGCAATCCCAGCTGCCAACCCTGACATAACCGTACGGATACGTACATTTCGAAGACAGGGGGGGAAATTGGCGAAACAGATGGTGACTGAGGTAAACCAAAGCCATATTTGTTTCTGAAGTTTAATTTCACTGCATATCAAACTTTAATTATTGATCAAATTCATCAGATCTGAAACTGCAGTGTGACGTATGCACACAAAAAAATAAGTAAAAAAAATCAGCTTACATTCAAAATCAAAGTCTACTCATATTTAATGTTTCCTCCTCATCACATTCATTATTCTCGTTATCAGTGGGTTGAGTCGTACCACAAATTTGTTTGCAATGGTAGCGATGGATGAATTAACCTTGCTGGAAAGTGCGATTGCAGAACTTCTGCATAAATTAAAGGAGAGCAAAGATAAATTTAAGAAGTGGATTGCTATGTGACATTTGCTCCAGAATACACCTTTAATCATGAATGCTTGTTATATATTTAAGCCCACCTAGTCCTTTTTTATATTGGGCTAATACACTTAGAGCCCATCTTACCATACGAGGCTTATGAAAGACTTTTACATTTATGCGGCTCCAAACAGATTTGTTTTTTTGGTCTTATATGGCTCTTTGAATAGTTTGTGTTGCCGACTCCTGCTATAGAGCATTGATCTCAGACACCGATCTTTTCAAAAAGACTCAGTATCAGCAGGTCGAAGACTTCAACCCCTAAATTAATCACATTATATAATAACTGTCTAACATACATTCCCTCCTGTTTCTATTATTTCTCTGATTCAAGATAAATTAGGGTCCTTATTGTTTTGTTTTTTATTAAGAATTCTTCAAAATCCCCAAATAAGCCTTGCTCAACATTTTTGTGCATCATCTGGGAACTTTAAATCCCAGGAGATGAAACAGGAAGGAACTCAGGGTTCATATCATCCCCAGAAAAGTCCAAGTCAAAGTAAACAAGCCTTATACTAAACCGTCTGCAGGAGGGGAAACAAACTCACTTGCAGTCGTTCTTCCAGATACACTCTTATATTTAGCATGTGACTCTGATAGCGGGAAAGATTAGCGGTCACCAGCTCTGCAGCCTGTCACAGACAGAGAGATCCTGTTACAAACACTGCTTCAGAGGCGCAGTTGGTTCACTCAGTAATCTGCTACAAGGAACATACTTTTCCCAGACCAGCTATCATTGGCGTGTTCTCTGTTCTGTTTCATTGAGGAAAAAAGATAAAAACATTTTGTTAGATCTGAAGAAATCTGAATTTTTTGGTTGATAACAGATCGTCTCTACTGCAGAGACGGCTTTGCGCGGCATCATACCCCGGTCTGAAATTCCTCTCCTGTCCTCCTCCAAATATCATCGGATACAGCGGCGTCTTTGTTCCAGGGCCGTTTACGTACAAAGCGCCGGCCCGAGGAGCGTAGAACTGAAACAGTTAGATGATAGAATGACAGATCTTATATAGACTTCAGGTCAGTTAGTGAGGTCTCCTTTAAGAAGTTGGAAAAGCAAATTTCTGACCTTGTGTCCAACTATGGTGAGGAAATCCACGCCCAGTTCCTGGACATCCACAGGGATTTTGCCCAGCGCCTGGGCAGCGTCGGTGTGAAGCAGGATCCTGAGTCGATCGTGCTGCTTGTTGAGGGATTTAACCCTTTGGCAGATTTCTTGGATTGGCTGAAAAGAAGGAATGTTAGCGTACAGGAATCGGTTTTATGGTATTCCAAAGTTAAATTGTTTTTACAACTGGAAAACAATTAGAAGATGGAAAACGGTCAGCACTGGAAAAATTATCTAGAAAAAAGTAAAAAACGTCTTAAATTAAGTGTATTTAGCCTTATTTGGATAGGTAAATGAGATAGTTTGCCAGAGGAATGAGTATTTTTCCTCTTAAATTAAGATAATTACATAAAATGCACTTGGAAAAAGACAATGCTAACCCTAACCCTTTCCAGTGAGGCTAAGTGGCTTTCAAGCCTTTTTGTTTTACCATGATGACTCCTGTCTCATTGTTGGCCATCATGACAGAGATGAGACAAGTGTTGGGGCGCACGGCAGCGATAATATCCTCCACATCTACACGAGCGTTCACCTTAGAAACGGGCACACATGTTACATCTAGGGTGGAAATAACAGGAAGCAGGTTTATCTCAGTGGTTAAAGGACAACAGTCAAAACCAAAGCAACCATCAATGTGGAAAGAAGATCACCCACCTGCCTTCCCAACCGACTGCAGGTGCTTGGCCGTGAGTCTGATGGAGTCATGCTCCACGTTGGAGGTGATGATGTGCGGCAGGCCGGAGCAGCCGTTTTGCAGTCCTTCGCCGTGCTCTGCGGCGCTGCGGCTCTTCCTGAAGTGCTCCACGGCGGTGTGCAGCACCAGGTTGTTGGCCTATGAGATGATTCATTCACTCTGAACCAGAACTGACTGCAGAAAACTATTGCTCTGAACTAAAGCCGGTCAACAATCAGGATCTGCATCAAGTTGGATCATTTTCTAACATTAGCCAGGAAAGCAGCGTTTACCTCTGTTCCACCTGAGGTGAAAATAATGTCCTCCGCTTTGCCTCCAACCATTCTAGCCACATTCTGTCTGGACCGGCTGATGATCGCTTTGGCCATGGCTCCTGGAAAACAACATTTCCAAGTG